GAGAGAGAGAGAGAGAGAGAGAGAGAGAGAGAGAGAGAGAGAGAGAGAGAGAGAGAGAGAGAGAGAGAGAGAGAGAGAGAGAGAGAGAGAGAGAGAGAGAGAGAGAGAGAGAGAGAGAGAGAGAGAGAGAGAGAGAGAGAGAGAGAGAGAGAGAGAGAGAGAGAGAGAGAGAGAGAGAGAGAGAGAGAGAGAGAGAGAGAGAGAGAGAGAGAGAGAGAGAGAGAGAGAGAGAGAGAGAGAGAGAGAGAGAGAGAGAGAGAGAGAGAGAGAGAGAGAGAGAGAGAGAGAGAGAGAGAGAGAGAGAGAGAGAGAGAGAGAGAGAGAGAGAGAGAGAGAGAGAGAGAGAGAGAGAGAGAGAGAGAGAGAGAGAGAGAGAGAGAGAGAGAGAGAGAGAGAGAGAGAGAGAGAGAGAGAGAGAGAGAGAGAGAGAGAGAGAGAGAGAGAGAGAGAGAGAGAGAGAGAGAGAGAGAGAGAGAGAGAGAGAGAGAGAGAGAGAGAGAGAGAGAGAGAGAGAGAGATCGAATCTGGTGGTTGAAGAAGGGAGTGGGTGTGTTATCTTTTTAATGTTATTAGCTAAAAGGGGCTCTTCCCCAAAAATCAAAATCTTCTATATTTTGCTTTCTGCCCCCTCAACTACTCATTATTTAATTAGTTTCCCAACTCTTTTCCCCATATTATTTTCCTTTTTTAATCACTTTCTTAATCAAATTTATGTAATTTGATTAAGACCCAAATCATTGTTATAAACCTAAGTGTTGAGTTAATGGGGTGATTAAGATGGTGATTAAGATGGTAATTAAGGGTTAAGAGAGATGGGATTAAGGATTGTTTTTGGTTTTGGAGGGTTGGGTGAGAGGGGACCAAAATAGCAATGTAAAAAAGATTAGATTCTGATTTTGTGAAGAAAAACAATGATAAGAGAAGAGGTTCTTGGAGATCTTATGACCCCACCTACCCATGCATAATTTTCTTAATTTTTTCTCCCATCATTACCAACAAAGATTATAACTTCCAATAATTTATGGAAACTAAAACTCGAATCTTACCATGATTAATGTTAGATCTCTAGTTTGTTCGCGAGACGAGCGAAATATACTTTATAAGAATGTGGAAACCTTTTTTCTAGTAGACGCGTTTTGAAACGTGGAAGTTGATGGAGATTGGTAATGAGTCAAAGCGGATAATATTTACTTGCGGTGGTCTTGAGCTGTTACAGATGTTGTTAGAGTTAGATATAGACGGTGTGATACGTAATGGGTAAAAACGGACAATATCTACTAGCGGTGAGCTTAAGTTGTTACAAATGGTATCTGAATAAGACATTGGACGGTGTGATGCGTTATAGGTCAAAACATACAATATCTACTAATGGTGGATTTGGGTTGTTACAAATGGTATCAGAGCCAGACATTATATGGTGCGTTACGTAACGAGCTAAAATGAACAATATCTGCTAGCGGTGGGCTTAAACTGTTACAAATGATATTAGAGTCAGACACCGGACGGTGAGATGTTTGACGGACAAAAATGGACAATATCTACTAGCGGTGAGCTTGAACTGTTACAAATGGTATCAGAGTCAAACACTGGACGGTGTGATACGTTATAGGCCAAAATATACAATATCTACTAGCAGTGGACTTGGGTTGTTACAAATATTATCAGAGCTAGATATAGACGGTTGATACATAACGGGTCAAAACGGACAATATCTACTAGCGGTGAGCTTGAATTGTTACAGATGGTATCAAAGTGAGACATTAGATAATGCGATACGTAACGGGCTAAAACGGACAATATGTACTAGCGGTGGGCTTGAGCTATTACAAATAGTATCAGAGTCAGACACCGGGCGACATGATACGTTACAGGCCAAAAAAGACAATATCTACTAGTGGTGAGCTTGGACTGTTACAAATGGTATCAGAGCCAGACATCATATGGTGCGATACGTAACGAGAAAAAACGAACAATATCTGCTAGCAGTAGGCTTCGACTGCTACAAATGACATCAAACTCATACACTGAACGATCCAATACGTTACGAACAAAACAAACAATATCTACTAGTGGTGGGCGAGCATAAACCGTTACAAATGACATCAGAGTCAAACAGTAGACGATACATTACGTAATAGGTCAAAACAAACAATATCTAATAACGATGAGCTTAAACGGTTACTTACTTAATCACTCTCTAAACCTCGCTTAACATTCCTTAATCATGTGATTTGAGAGAATGTTAAGCTAAGCTTATGCTCCCTTCCATGAAGGAGATAAAGATACTTGTCAAGATCGTGTTCTAAAGATGGAAGAAGCGATGAAATATGGAGTTTGAAAGTTGGTGTAGAGAGAGAAAGAGAAAAAAAAAAAAAAAAAATTAAAAATTGAATATAAATGATTAGTGGAATATATAGGGTTTATGGAAAATCAACGACGTGGGGCTTGGAGATCATGAAGATCCATGTGCATGCGATGTAGAAGATTATTAATTATTATAAGATTGGGGATTTTGTAATGAGTGATTTAATTCAATCCTTCTATAATGATTGAGAGAGAGTGAATAAAGTGGATGTTTGACCTTTGCTCTAACTGTCTCTATTATTAGTGACCTTAATTATGTCATAAACTTCGCTTAATCTTTGTTCTAACTTTTTGGGATTATAAATTAATTATAATTAAAAAAAATGTTATATTATATTCCATATAAATTGTTTCTTAATTAATTATAACAAATTGATGACTCACATTATTATATGGACCCATTTGATATATAATTATGTATTCTTTTATATATATATATAAAGTTTTTAATTCTCGGTCGAAGAAAATAAAAGAGAAGGCAAGCCTGAGATTGTTGATCTAGGGTCGGTCTCCAACATAGACACGAGAGGGTATATAGATTGTTCGGAATATAATGTTTGTTGGATGATGAAAGTCCCACATCGACTAATTTAGGAAATGATCATGGTTTTATAAATAAATAATACTCTCTCCATTGGGACGAGGCTTTTTGGGTGAAGCCCAAAGTGGACAATATCATACAATTGTGGAGAGTCGTGTTCGTCTAACAATGTTGACGTGTGGGATGCGTGTCGAAGCAAATAGTAAAAGTCGAAACATTAGTTGGATTTCAAAGTTTTCTATTAACATGTTTTATGTATATGATAAAATTCAATAAATGTTGAAGTCATTGTTGAACGTTTTAAGATCATTTTGACCTAACGAAGAATGTGAACACATCTTGATGAGGTTTCGAATCGAAGTGGGCCAGGAAATAAACTTTTTAAGTGATTTATTTATTTATTTATTTATTTGAATAGTTGATTAATGAGTTCATAAAGGAGTAGTTAAAGTCACAAGCTTAATTATGAGTTGGATTCAACTTTGGAATAAGAACTACTTAGATAGAAACATCCCAGAAATTGGAACTCAACAAATGAAAACGACGTCTCTTTTGGCTTTACAAATATATATATATATATATATATATATAATATATATATAATCATGAGTCGGTGTCGTTCGAGTTTGTTTCACTTATTATTTAATCTCTTGTAGTTTATCGATCGTAAACTTAAAATATGAAAGAGTGCGATTATAATCATTATAGTCATAATAGCAAAGATCTTGCGTGGGTCGAACCACTCTAAATCTAACTATTGAAGCATAAATTTGATTCCGTTCATCACAACATTTACTGATACGATCCATACCCAGTATTTCAATCAGAGTTTAGAATCTAGATTTGACACCTAATGGCCACAACGTTCTTCAACGACGTAGCTACGTTACTTACTAGTTTTTATAGCATGCTTTGTCCTCACTCACATGCATATTAGAATTGTTATTATCGAGTCATCGAAAAAGAGAGTACATCTTGTTGGTAAAGGTAGTGACTTTCAATTCTTAGCCTAGTTTTTCTATTTCAAGTAAGGGATAAAGATTTAACAGTGTCTTAATCAAAGTTTAGATATTAATGATGTTTTGACCGGGTCTCAATGTGACCAAGAACGCCATACGTGATTCTTTCACACATATTTAAAAAACTATATAGAATAAGAGAATATCTAGATGACAACATTAAGATTTGCAAAACATTTTATTTAAAATTTATTAATCGTTCTTTTTGTTCTTAGTTTTGAAAAAAAAAAAAAAAAAAAAAAAAAAAAA